GGGGGGGGGGGGGGGCAAATTAGTTAGATTACAGGGTATTCAACTAGAGGTCAAGATCTAGCAATTAACCTAGCACTCATCAGATTATATTTTTTTGTCTACAAATATTAAGAATGTTACGTGATACTTAAACTAATTTAAACACGTTGCAGAAATCATTTAACCCAAACAAAAAGACCACAGTCAAACCCGCATAAAAAAGAATTCTAAAAAATAACCACTACTATAAGCCAGATCTGTACGTACCAGGGGCAGCTCCAGTGTCAGTACCCACTGTACAAATACAAAAAAAACAAAAAAATACGATTACAATCTCCAAATATTTTCAATATTACATAAATTTTAAGTTAAAAATCTGATTATTCGTCGGAAATAGAAAGCACACAAATGCTAGGGAAAATTTTTTTCTAATAAAAATCCAACGGAAAAACCCAAAAAAAAATGTTTATAAGGAAAACTCACATCCACAGTTGCTAACAGAAGGAGCAGAGACATGGCAAGCAGCAGGAAGAGCCATAGCCTTAGTGACATTAAGAACAACTCCCAACTGAGCGCTGTTTTTGAAACCCTCACAGAGACACTCAGCGTCAGTTTTCAACACCATTTTCAAGCCTGAACAGCAAGTACCCTGTGGCTTCTTCTCTGTACTACCATTTGTAACAAATGACAAACAGTCAGCCAAGTTCAGTACCAAGTTGTTGCAGTCCACCGCTGGAGCAGGCGCCGACTGGTGAGATGCTGATTCTACACTTGTAGAGGAAAAAGCCCACATTAAAACAAGGCAAAAAAGAGCGAATGAGTTCATTTTGGAAGCCATTTTTTGAGAAAACAGAAAAGCTGTGGTTGATGAAGAAATGGAGAAAGTTTTGGGAACTTTTCTGTTTTTGTGTTGCAGAAGAATGCAGAGGAAAAGGTTGGAGTGAGGGTATAAATTGGGTAAAAAGATAATGGGGCGGGTACGCGTCAAGTTGGATTTGGGTCGGGTCATGATGTGAGCATGAAGGACACGTGGTATAGAATCCTAAATTAATGTGTCCTCTTCTACTGAACCCTATTAAATGTCTATTACCTTTTTCCCTTGTTATCTTTTTTGTGTTGCTTATCTTTTAATTCGACTTTAATTAACAATGTTTTGGGAGATTGTTTAATTTTGAAATCTTGATTTTTATGAAGTGTATATTGGATAGGACTCTATTTAGATTTGAATCTCTTATCACGTTTTGATTGTGAAGAACTTGCTAAATTTCGTGAGTACGATTTACAAAATATTTTAGTTTGAATTTGCCAATCAGATTTTAGTTTTTCGATATACTCTCTTGGCGCGTAACTACTAATGGAGATAGACATTATCAGATAATCAGTTGGACAGTAATTATCATGAGAGCGTTAAGATTTGAACTAATCACACTACTAATTTGTCCTCTCTCGGCTACTTTAGTTGTCCACCTGAGATTTTTTTTTTTTTTTTTACTTTGTTTAATATCTAATTTGATTTTAAATCAGCAATGTGAAAGTGAAGATTTATGTCAATTCATAGTCCGATTATTATTTTTTTCGCAACGACTTTGGGAGGGAGATTTAAATTTCTCTCTCTTGACTATGATTATGTGAATATTCGGACCCATAATATTTCAATAGTAGTATGCAAACGTTTAAATATGACCCACGAGCCCTTATTTTGGGGACCACATTGATTAAAAGGTGGAAGAACTCCGCCGGACTTTCCCAACGGCTAATAATAAAGCAAAGGAAACGCCGCATATCCCTAGAATTTCGCTGAAAAGGCCAAAGCCTCTTGTATTTAGCAACAAATTAATTAACTCTAACACTCATTAATAGTGAAAGTACCAAGATATGAATTGGAAACAGGTTCATATTAGAAGCAGAAATATTTTGATTTCAGCTGACAATAACAGACCCCGTATCCCACCAGTGGAATTTAGAGAATGTATATACGCAATCTTATTCTTACCTTGTGAAGTATAATCAAAGCTTTGTTAATTTTGATTTCAGCGGAGTGATCTTTATTTGGTAACTGTTAGGCCAAACTTCACTAACCATTGTTTAATTTTTTCTAATGCTCTCCTTGCAAATAATGCTGGAGACATGAGATACGATGAAAAAATAGCTCAATTCATGCGTTAAAGGGTAAGGAATATTTGGAGACAGCTAATTAAGAGAAAATGCCCTCCCTATATTACACGTTTCTGTCAAAAATGGCTTCGGCTTTGATAACTGTCTCCTCAAAAAGACCAAGCAAAGTTTCTAGGCATGCAAATCCTACTAATGATGTTACATGCTCAATTTTTTTATAGGATAAAATTACTATTAAAAATATAGTTAGTCTAGTTTCTTTTACATTTGATTTGAAAAAATGAGCGAGACGCTTTAGGCCTAAATTGACGCCCAACAATAACTTTTTTCTTCTACAGAATTTGTAATTGAAAACATGGATGGGAAGAAATGATTTCTAACACTCACACTTTTTAAAAGTAGGAATATTTTTTGGATTTTCCTAATACGCTGCCAGATATTATGCGGCGGAAATTTTGATTTATGTTTACCCAAAAAATCGGATAATGTTAAATTTATATATGGTTCTAAGGATACGTAATATCCTTTGATACAAAGATAACAATACAAGTATTTTGGCTATGAGAATGGGAGTGATGAACAAAAAGAATGAATAAGATGAAGTAAAACAAACACAAGGAGATATCTTTATATCTGAGAAAAGATCTTTTTTGTTCCAATCTATTCTGTGTCTTCTTCCATAGCTTACAAGGATTCCCCCTTTATAGTAGAGGGTCATTACAAAAAATAATAAAATAAAGCATATAGTGGAGGACCCAT